GCGTTTGGGCGCTTGGTCGGGTAAGCCACAGATCAGGAGCTCCGAACTGCTTTCAGGTCCTGAAGACGACGATTTGTCGAAACGTCGACCAATAAAGCGGTTTCTACCTTAACAAACCTGTACGGCAAAACAGTGAAAAACATTATACAATATGCCCAGGTTTCAAGAAGACCGAACATGGAAGTTAATACGTCAAAGAGTCAATGAACAAACAAACAAACAATCCTGGGTGACAGCTTACCAGAACGCCATCCTTTACGACCCTTATATTCAGTACCATCTAGTGAGGATGCGTTTTCTCTATTCCAAGTGTAACTTCTGCAAAACCCAAGATTTCAGCGAAAAACTTGAACAGTACGTAATATGAGCACTTATGGTTAGTAACATTATGCTGTTTTGATGATCTAGCAGCACACTCCCAACCAAAACTGGCGCTTTATTTTCAAATCATTCACCAAGCAACACTTTCGGTTACTGATGGGTTTCTAAGCTAGGAAATTCAGGTGGCTGTCATTGTTTTGGGTCACGTCATGCACCTATACATTATAAAAATGTCAGTCGAATCCCCGCCACCCTTTATAAAGGCATTTGGAAATATGTAACTTGCGGCAAGATCAAGTTGACGCCATCATTCGGTGCTTCCCGGAGGTTTTGCACCTAGGCAATTTTTCGGAAATTCGAGGGATATCAGTTAGATGTGCAAAATCGATCTGAAAGTAATACAAAGACACAGGGTTGACTGAAGTCGAAGACACCGGGAGCAGCAAGTTGACGTCTCATTTTTTTTGGGAGAGGCGTGCTGCATGCGGAAACGGCCCGTGTCTTAGTGTAGCCGACAATCTTCGCTTAAGGTCGACACCAAACCCGTCCGTGACCACTGTCGAAACGTCATCTGGTAGTGGCCGATGGTTTAGACGTCGTGCAGTAAAGGAGATGCTGACCTATGCCAGACTCGCGAATCCTCTCTCGTTTGGGCTTATGCTCACAAGAACTGGACCGTTCAGCAGTGGCGTAAAGTAAAGGTTCTCTGGAAAAGGAAGTCGGTATTTCTGCTGCACCGGGCGGTCGGTACATGAGGGGGGTTCGGCAATGGTTCGCGGCAGCTTCTGTTGCAAAGGAATTGGTTCCTTCCCCCGGATAGAGGGTATGATGGATTCGAAGATGTATATCAACCTTATGGAGACTATTATCTGGCCGCTCGTGCATGGTACTGCTCGCACTGACTTCATTTTCCAACAGGGCAACGAATCAAAACATCGAAGCTGCTCATCAAGTGGTTCCGCGACAACGATATCCCTCTGCCGCCGTGGCCGTCTCAGTCCCCCGATCTAAACCCTATCGAGGCATCTGTGGGATAATGTTGAGCGTCAAGTTGAAGGCCACAGGGCTTTAAATGATCATGGAAAATTTCTTTGACTGAAGACTGCTGTCAATGTCCTCCCGTGAGGTGGGAGAACTTCTCACGGGAAGAGAAACGAGCTTATCGAGCTTCTTGCGACGACGATATCGAGCGGTTATTGACGTCAAAGGTTACGCGACAAAGTATTGATGTCGTAGTAGTTTAATTGCTGTTATAGCAGTTATTGCGATGAGAAATTGAAAATTCAGACAGAAGATCGAGCAGGTTTGATGGTGTTTTACCAAAAGAAGTTGAGCTTCTTGGAATAGTTTACGATTCACTTAAACAATTGGAAACTTTCTCCCCTATCACATTGTTGATAGGCATTCACAGTAAAAAAAAATCAGAAGGAAAGTTGGTTTACCGAGAAGTTACTTTCGGAAATGTGAAAAACGCGTACTTCATTATAGGGAGGATATGGTGGATACATGAGATTTTTCGTTTTTATTTCGTTCAAGGTCCATTTCCCGAAAACCATGTTTGGGAAAATTAAATGGGTGTAATTCTCTACACAAAAACACAAAAGACCTCATTCAGACTATTTATTCATGTGCCTACCATTAGTTTATTAATATTTACTCATGATATGATTCGTATACTTGCAACAAAGAGCTGATGGGAGCTTTTTTTCTGCCAGTTTCTTTTCCGTAACCGCTCTTTGTTACCCTTTTTCAAGGATTTCATTGTTATGAAGTGATCTCGGAATCGATCTTCGTGGCGAATAAAAGGACTGATGAAGTTCTCCAATCAACACATCAATTCGCTATGCTTCGTCTAGTTGCCCTTCTCAGCCTTGTAGCTGTTTCAATGGTATTTTACTATTATAGATAGACAACTTCAGCTAATTTGAAATTTCTTTTAGAACTCAAGATTTCCGCTTAGACATTTAATTAATTGAAATTGAAGACTTCGCCGTCTCCATCGGGCGCTAGCAGTTCTAGCGATTCCCCTGTCACTGCGGGGACTTCTCATGGAAAAGAGCTCGCAGTCGACGAAGCAAACGTTGTCATTGAGACCAAATTAAAATTCAACCCAGGATTGAATACATTCTTCATGGATGCTTTCAGAGAAGCGGTAAGATGTGCTCTGACGATAGAACGTAAGGGCAGCTTTTTATTTTTTCTTCGCAGATTATTCAGTATTGGATAGTAATTTAGGTTAAGCACTATGCGCATGCAAACGGAGTTGAGTACAGCGATGCCGTGGTTCAGGAGAGAACACATCAGCTCGGTGATAAACTCGCTATGGAATACTTTGTTCATGGTGTTGACTGTGAACAGGTACATCTTTTCACATTTACAGATCCGATCATTTTCGCGACTGCAGACAAGTCTATGTGGTCCGCAAAGGTCTCAAGGCAGCACCCATGATAAGGAAGCAGTCAGCTACAAGAAAAATCTTACTTAGTTTGATCCTTCGAACCAGAAAAGCTAACCTTTTACGGAAAACTCGTCCACGTGACCCTATGTTGGTTTGAAGGGAACAGTAGATGGGCTTAACAGATTTTCAACACTTTCATAAACTATTTTCCCTTGTCAGGTGAACACCTTCAGGAGCTAGTCCATATTTCTTTCTCACGATCCCTACCTAGATTGAGTGTTTTCGTTGTGCTACCAGGGAGTAGGGTGCACAAGTTTCAAAGTAACTTTGATTATAACTTTACCCTGTCCTCCTTCCAAAGTGCCGAGAAAACTTCTATCTCCCATGTATTATAATATTCATTGCAGCTTGGCAAGTTCCTATCGGCAGGAAAATTGATGACCAACCATCTCGTTAAAAACGTTATTTCAATCTGCAACGGCAGGCCGATGCTTCTGTAGAACTCAATGGAATTGTGCAACTAAAATAAATTTCACAAACAATTTCGATGTGTTTGGCTGAATTTGTAAAAGAATCGCTGAGAAAGGACCTGTTGGAATGCTGCCCATCGAACAATAGCGTCAGTTGGCGCCATGCACTCGCCCTCACTCGTCCGTGCTACGGAGCCCGCCGAAAAGAGTGGTAGAGTGGTGGGCTCGGTCTTGTCCCAGAGCCGCCTCGCAAAATTCTGTGCTACATAAAAGAAGGCAGCATATAGCAATGGGAGCTGTGGCATACTTCTTATTCAGACGTAGGGTGTACACTGCCAAGTGACTCCGCCAACACATATATAACCCGACAATGAACTTAATACCTGCCTATATCCTAACATTGCTATCTGGCCAGTCTAACGAGGCGCTTCAACTTACGAAATCAGCAAATTGGTATTGCTCTACTCTGGGAAAATAGAAGCACTAGTTCATAAGGAATACAACTCGTCAATTAGTGAGCCTCGGCAGTAAATAATAAAGTCCAACGCAAGCGAGTCAGCGGACGTGCCCTATGAGCGCCACTGGCTGACGCAACAGCATCGAGCGACGGCGCTTGACGCTCGACGCGATAAAAATGTTGTTTAGAGGGGGACACCCCTACTTTGTAACACTAGGCGCTGGAGTGCAGAGAAGGAGGGGAATTCAACGGGGGGTGTATGTCGTTTGGCGCGATGGGCGGGGTCGCGCCGCCCATTTGAGGCGGCGCGACTCCGCCCATCGCCCCTTCAACTCATTCAGGTCGCGTAATCTTCCGCTATCCTCTCATCTATAGATGATAGAAGCCCAATCCAACATCTATAGAGGAGAGGAGAGCAGAAGATTACGCGATCTGAATGAGTTGAAGGGGCGATCAAACGACCGGCTCCCGGGCGGCGTGCGAATCACGCGTGACCCCAGTGGAGGCGCACGCGCACGCAGCACGCAACGCATCACCCAGCCGATTTCGTACGTGTTTCCATGTGGCGTTACAGTACCCTTGGAGTGCAGTGGGTCAGACGATATTTGTACTAGTCCATGACATAGCCATTGACTCATATGATGCACTTTTGCTTGTTTTTTTCTTTGCTGAATGGTTTTGATTGCTTATTTTTCATTGTTTTCTCGCAACGTCATATCGCTTTTATGTTCTTAGAGATACTTAGTGTCGTTTTTATTCCGTGTATCGCTTTTATAGATTAGACGGTTACAAAGTTTATCGATTCCCGTTTGTTGTTTCTCTATTGAAAGAGGGGAATTTATTCTAAAGTTGACTTTTTTCAGAGGCTCGATGTGGGACGAGAAGCGAAGGCAAAACAAGTGAGTGGACCAAATGATTCTTTTCTATACTAGACAGTTTCATGTATTAATTTGATTGTTTAACTAATTTTGTTGTTTTTGCTGTTGATGACTTATGCATGTTATTATATTGGGCACGCTTTGTAGGATTTTAATATGTAATAACTTACTTCTTGTTATGTATTGTTTCATGTTCTACTTGTTTCCTTTGTAATCATTCGTAAGTACAACACCACTGATTTCACTTGCTTAAATCCTATCATACTTTCTATTTTCTCACTGTATCGCGTTGCTGTCTCAACATTTGTTATGTTTCATGTTTTATTACAATAAGATAATTTTGCTGCAGTGTGTTTGAAATATAGTTGTAATTGAATAAAGAGCAATTAATAATAATTTATTGAACTTAAGCATGCATTCATAGAAAGATTTAATAAAAAGCAGGAAAAAGAGACGAAAGGTAAGCGGCACATCACAGTAAAATACATCGCAAGCTAACGAGAGATAAATAAAAGCACATCAATAATGCACAGACACCGTAAAGGAAATAAAACCAAATTTACAAAGTAAAACAGCAGCGAAGCGAAAGAACGTACCTTCAAACTACCTTCTCAGTAACAAAGCGCGCCATGCGCCTGCAGTACGTCGTAATTGTCCTTGTTGAAGGGAATCCTCTTGTGCGACTTAGAAGCTCCTTGAACCTGGCCATTTCCCTTTCGACGCGACGTCTTCGAATCCTGTCCCTCCGTCGCAACGGCCTCGGATCCATTCTTCTCTGCAAATGGAAATTTTATTACTGCTGCTGATAGGGTGAACAGCGCAAACCTACCCTTTCAATGTTGAGCAGGGTTCCTCGCGCTGTGGTCACGGTTCCCTGCAAGGCTCGTAGGAGGTCACTCATGCGAGGATACTTTACCTGCAAGAGTACTCCCAGAAGCCTGAAAGAAACTACGAGTCAGCAAGCAAGAAGGGAGCCACATTGCAATGGATCAAACCTGTTGAACGACTCCGCCGCGTTTGTGGTCCGCAGGATCGAGACATCCCATTTGCACCACATATCCCTGAAAGTACCCTCATACCAATATTTTCTCAAATACTCCAAAAATAAAGAGCACTTATCGTAGGCCCCATGTCCTCTGGGGACAGGAGGCCTATAAAGTGCCGGGACCCTTCGGTGCAAATGAGCCGGCAGAAATGGCAGACCTTTGATTGTAAGCCACCATTTCTGAATGGCTCTGCACCGGCGGGGCCCCTTACCTGTTGGCGCAATCCAAGCGCATCTCTTCGCCTGTTCCAGGCTTGCGCTAGATGAAAAGCGCACCCCTCTACTGATGCGCTTGGAAAGCACCTCTTCGCCGCGTTGATAGCGGCCTTTTCATAATCGAGCAAGATCCTTATGTTATTCCTTCCGCCCGCTGCCTCAATCGCTTCTTTGAGCTTCCCAAAAATTCGCTCGTACACTCGCTCGTTTTTCCTGGAACAGCACAGGTATTAGCAGCTTGAAAACCAGCTAATTCAGTCTAGCGTACACCATACCTGGTCGTGATGGCGAACAGGAGTGGCACGTCCACGGAGTTTGCCATGACTCCGTGGATGGTGTACAGTTGTCCGTTGGCGTTGGTGGCGTCCGGTTGAAGGTCGTGGACACCGTCGCCCACCAAGCCATATAATCCAATTCTGCAGGCTTTCTGAAAATGAAGGGATCATTGAGATACTTGAAAAGGGTTATTCGCTAATTCATACCTCAATAATCGCGTTGGAATAATAGATGTGTATTTCACCAGTGCGGTACTGCAGGAACGTTGCGCCGTCCGGGAGAAGTGCGAAATTTTCCGGCACTGAATCCATGGTGACGCGAGATCCGTGCAGTTTCGATAATGCCCTGAAACGAATTGGACTTATAATGTGAGTTTTTGCATCAAATGGTTTGATTTGGTTTACCTTCTTATGGCGTAGCGGCGTGAGTCATACCCGTTTCTGCAAAAGTAGTGAAGCCTGTCTTCTCTTTCTGCCTCACCTGAATGTCGCACTTTTACAACTGTATGTGAATGTTAAAAAAAGCCTACCTGCGCCTTCACTGTAGTCGATTTCTTCCGCCAAGCTTTGATATATCTGCTTGGGCGCACGAAGGCATAACGAGAATCCTTCGGTATTTCTTGGCATTTCTAAACAGCAGTGACAGTTTATGTTGCACTTATGTAGCTTATTGATGTTCTCACCTTATACACTGCCCTTGTAACTACGTCCTGTTCGTACTTCCACGGAATGCATATATGCGGTAGCTGCACGGGATCGCCTACGAGGTTACTCCCGTCTCTGGCTTGCAATAAGATGATGCTAGTGATACTTGCTAAATTTTATCCTGAAATGAATTTTTGTAGTACCGCTATGCTGATGGTCTTCCCATTCTTCCTGCACCCTGTGCAGCGGTAGACTTCGTTGCCAGTTGTTGTCGTGCGCATATGCTCGAAGGTATAACACAGAGGTTGCCCTGCAAAGAGCGAAACGTTTGGAGGAGTTAATTAACAAAGTTGTAATTGGACTTGCCTGGTATACGATAGCGTAATGTGTGGCGCTTTCCTTGTTTACTGGCTTCGATGGCTGCGGGAAACAGTTCGCCGGTAAGGTTCACCATATGTCGTCTAGGAGGTGAAGCGGAATATGATGAAGACGTACCGGCACCTGTTAAGAATGTAAAGACCCTGGTGATGGAAGCAGAAGGACATAATTTTTACCTGTTTCTTGCTGGTGCCGCATTTCCTGGGACGTGGAAGGCTGTACCTCAATCGCACGTGGAGCTATAATAGATTTGGTAGAGGTTCAGACTTCTTTTCACAGCACATATGAGGGCAGTTCAAGTTAAGCTCACCAGATCCAAGAAGTCCGACCAGTGTGGGGTAGTTGGACACGTTTATGGGTCTGCCTGAAATTGAATTACTCAAATTATTTCTCTGTTGTTTGTTTGTTTCCCCACAATGCACTTACTGGAGAAAAATAGCAACATACTTCACAGCGTTCACTCCAACACAATGCGGAGCCATTTCAAGTGCAAGACATTTCGGGAACTGATCAACTGCTGATTTAGACATGTAATAGTACGGGACGCCAGGGAACTAAAAATAAAAAAATATCCAAATGTGTATAAATCTCCATGCCCAAGCACCACATTCTCAGTGCGGATCTGTGAAAGTTCAAGAAAAACTGCTTAGATTCTCGTTCAAGTTAATTTCAGAAGATTAACAATAATATATCGAAAAACTTACTCTACATGGCCCATTAATGCTGTTCACATTAACAACAAACAGTCCCTTTTTATTTGGTGATATGAGGAAGTGCTTCTCGTATTAGGCGGACCAAACTAAACAGGAATACTCAATGCCAGCAGCGAACACATGAAGTAAAATGGCTACCATCTGACATTGACGGTGGAAAGCTCATCATAGACGCTAATATTCACAATCAGGTAATACATGAAGTAACGTAAAATCATGTAAGAAACTAACAACGTGCTACTGCGATAGAAACAATTACTCATAAGTTAAAGATTCATTAAAATCAAAGAAACACCATGGTGACGAGTATGCGGCAGGCCCTTTAATATGCAACCGCGGCCTAGTAATCGAGTTAACTCGTTCACGGCACCGCCCCACAGCTGGCTCCGCCCCCTAATCTAGGCGACCTACCTAGATCGGCGCGTGAATCGCACCACCCCTGGGGGGGGGGGCGACATAGGCCGGGC